TAACTTTCTTCTTAACCTTTGCTACTTATGCTTTTGATAATAAATCATTTTTTGGAATATAAAAAATGGATTATATAGGTTCCTATAAACAGTGTGTATTGCAATAAGTTACTTGTTCCTTTGGCTTTTTAACTTGTAAATCTCTAGGGATATGACACATATTCCTTCGCATCTTTATCTAGTTATCCTTTAGGATTTCTTGACATGTCATGCATCTAGTCCTCTTCTCCTTGCTTTGCTTTGTAGTTACATTTAGCTTAGTTTTGTAATACATTAATGTGGCTACAAATCTAGACAGCATCACAGCAAGGTTCTCTTTCTACAACTCACATTCCATGGTATTTAGGTATGATTTATCATTGAAACTAGCTACTTGTAACTTTCAATATATATATATATATATATATATATATATATATATATATATATATATATATATATATATATATACTAGTAGCGTACCCGCGCGATGCGGCGGCAAAGATTAGTTCATTTCAGCGATTGGTTTCCTTTCGGTGTCATTAGATGATTTCCTTATGGTTGTGGCATATGTGACAGATTCATTTTGGTGCATAGTTTCGTAGAAGCGATCATTTTCTTTTGGCTTGTGGTTTTTATTTTTTTTGCAGTGAAACATTTCATATTTCAAAGAAACATACTGTAGTCTGTAAAAACTGAAATATGTTCATATCTTGGTTTAAAAATATAAGTATATTGTTGTTTTAGATTAAAAAGTAAAAATATCCACAATTTTGGTTTAAAAATATAAATTTGTTATTATTTTTGGTGAAAAATAAAAGTACGATTGTTTTTTGGGTTAAAAATAATTATATTATTGTTTTGTGTTAGAAGGAAAATATATGTTATTTTAATCTAAAAATATAAAAATTAAAGATTTAGAAATAACAGTGTAACCATACACAACCTATATAAAGCATATTCATAAATCGATTACTTTCATTAAGAGTTTCCAACTAATAGTTTAATTTATTATGGAATCAGATATGTATAATAAAAAATAAAAAATAAAAAGGTTTATAATTTTAAAATCTTGACTGGTTTATTCTGTTAACCTTAATAGACAAAATGTTAAACGAAAACCGAATAAAATAAGGTTTTAAAAATATCGGTTTAACTGAAAACCAAATAAAATCAACCAATTAAACCAAACCTTATTTGGTCCGGTCGGTTTATTCGGATTTTGTTTTCTTCATACACCCTTATTGACGAAAGACGTTATCTTCATTTTATAGATACAAAACGATAGTAAGTTGACAAAAAGTAGTTGGTTTCTGTTAATCTTGTAATATGTTATCTTTTAAAACCCGGATCGACCCGGCCGGTTCAACCGGTTGGACCGTAACCTTGGGTGGAAGGCGGGTCAATTGAGAATGGTTTTTTGTAAAAATGTGGACCGGATCGAACCGATCGGTTTCCCCTAACCCGCGGTCGAACCGTTTATGTCGAACCAGGTAAACCGGATTGACCCGTTTTGATATGGTTTTGATCGATTAATTGATGTTTTCTTCTCCTATCGACTGTGAAGGTGACGGTTTTGGTGAGTTTATTGATTATTCATTGTTAATTGATCACTGTTTCAAGGTTTCTGATTGTGTAGATTATATAATTAGGATCCAATTAACATATGTTTATTAATTACAACATTGCTTTTCAATGCAATTAAATATGGAATCAAGGGAAGAAGAACGATTACAAGCACAATTTATAACATGTTTTGATATTTTTTCAATGTTTAAACTTTGAAGGCATCAAATTATTGGTTTTATATGTCTATGCATTATACAGGAAAGTAAAAATATATGAAAATAAAAAAAGATCATAAACCAGGTTGACCCGTGAATCGGTCATCATACCGGGTCAATTAAAAACCCGGGTTTTAAAACGTTGGTAATATGCTAATATGTGCAAAATTTTAAAGTTTTATCCTTTTGACATGTAGTTGGTTTCTATACGACGTAAGTCTTGATTTGTAAAAAAAAACTCCACTCGACTCACAGATAATAATGTAAAATTTGACTTACAGCCTTACCTGTATACAAAATATACTCACATATTAAAATGGAACGCAAATAAACGGTACATGAGTAAAAATTGACTCCCGTCCTTACTTATATACAAATAAGTAGTAATAAAGTAAAATTTGACTTAAACAAATAGAATGCAGTCCAACATATATGTGCAAACTTTTGCTTTTTTACAACCCAAAGAGATAAATTACATAAGACTTTGAACCATATATTTTCCAAATCAAACAAATCTTCTTTGATATGCAAACTGCATCACTTCTAGAAAGTCTATACAGCAACATCACCATAGAAATGAGACTCTAAAGTGCAGTAAATCTCTTATTGAATGATTACTTGAGAAAATTGAATACCAGCACCAGCATGTACGATAAAACCTTAATAGCTAGCCCATACCCATATAATTTTTTTGCAAATACAATTCAAGTGACACCCTAACTCTCCCAAAGTAACTTATCCCTCAATTTGCATTGCCAAATCACCAAATATCGCCAATGATAGCTCAGCAATTCCATTATGTTGAAATCTCTTTCTTCAAAAAATGTATGGGAGACGCCAACCTGTGAAATTTAAATCAAATAAAGATTACTATTTAATTTACCTCAAATAAGAAAATATTGGAAGTTTGAGATTACAATTCATTAGGCACAACTGCAATGAAAAGTTGAGCAGACAAAGTTACATGATTAGTTAGCATCTACCATCACAAAGGATAAATGCCAATCCTTCAGAAACTTTATTGTTGATTTTCATAGACTATCTTATTCAATAAATTGATGTATGTTTCAGAGTTTAAATAATTCCAGCAGTTAAGGATTCCATGTTCGGTGATGCCAATATAAACCCCTCAATAAGTAATCAAATTTACATACTTGCATAAGATCCATAAATTTTTCAAATTTACACACTTGTAAACTTCATAATTTAGCTGAGTTTGTAAAGATTGGTAATTTTGTTGAGTGAACGTGTTTTACTGGACATATTACATAGATTAGTCCATTTCGGATGATAACTTGAGCTAATTAAAGTTAAGAATGAGAATTAAACACTCTTTGAGACATTTTATCGAATAGATAGAGAGTGCAAAAACATTTATGATAACTTAATCACTATACATTACCAAACAAATATGATAACAAATCAATAAATTCAAAGGAAAACCGGATAATAAAACCTCCATGTCAGCAAAAAAGAACCATAAGCAGCACCATAAAACTTCAAAGAGTAGCCTCTACTTATTTCAATCACCATCCAATATAATAAAACCCCCATTGTATGATATATGAGCTTGAAGATTTAGCACAAAAGAAATCAATAATTACCAAGCAACTTTGGTAAACCCATTAAGACATCAATAAATCGCAAGTTCTTTAAATTATTAGCCAAAAGAAACAATGAACCCTTTCATTTAATCAGTCTTCCAAAATCAAAATTTCTTTGTAATAATTGGTTTGTTTGGAAAGAACGGAATGGTAAAGCCTACCTGATTATATCCATTTATGTGTGTATGAGAGAGAGGGGTAGCCATAGTTAGATCTGAAATAGATAAAAAAAAAACCAAAACATCTGTCAATTCCTTTTTCACATAAGAGCCAATAAACTTGCACCTACAAGCTCTCTATACCTGATTACATGTATAGGAGTGATTAGGTCGATGGTAGCAGCTAGGATTTTATAGCTTAGATGAATACTAAAAATCAACGAATATCCAGGTACGCACTCAAGGCTGACAGATCTGCTTAACAATAAAAACCAAGCATAAGCAAGAGGGTTAAATCCAAAAGTGAAAAATCTCTAATAACCCCACTTTTGTCATAATATATGAAGTATACTTTAGTAACTTACAAAATCATGAGTAAAGCATAAATTGAACCTCTATGTTATACCATTCGATAAAGAAACCACCATGTTTTTGATATCAGATCTAAACTCTCCCCATAAACATCTCTTGCTAGGTTCAAACAACTATAATGGTACACATGGATGTTGTTGCATTTAGAAAGAGATTCTCTCATCTCAATAACATCTCACAAAGGTTTTGGGATTTTCAGAACTGACCAGCCAATAACTTCAGTCTGCAACCAAGGGACGAATGATTAGCATATGGGTTCATACACATACACAGAGTTAGAGAGAGAGAGAGAGAGAGAGAGAGAGAGAGATGGGCACCTGATGGTGAGCTATGATAGATGCGGAGGTGGGTTGTGATGTCGGAGAGTGACCACATGCGATTTAAAAAGTACCAACCTATAAAATTTAGTAATAAACTTAAGCAACAACTCATCAACACCCAAAAGGGCGATTTACACAAAATTAACATTTGGAAGAAGAATAACCCTTGTCTGACTAACGATTTAGAAAAAATTAGGGCTTTAGGACATAAATTATGACATAAGAAAAGAGAATACTAAAGAGAGTTATAGATTGGAGCGGAGATTGTTTGATGTTGTAATTTGAAGAGAAGTCAGCTTTTTGTTGATCCCATCTGATCGTTGTGGTTTGCTAAGAATTGAATGAAATTGTGGACAGTGACCCGCTAATAGGTTGTAGCAACGACCAGATGGTGGTTGAACGTGATGTTGGTGTGAGATGTTGTCGGAATCAGGTGGCGACGGTGGAGGCACTGAGACATTTAGTAACGACGCCAAGAGAGAGATGGTAGAGATGTGGTTTAATGGCGGCTATTGTGTAGAGGAGATTGGGGTAACTGCGTGTAATAGTGTAAAATACATATAGGTGTTTAGGATGTGAATGGTTGGTGGACTTCCAGGGCGTCGATTGAGAAAAGGAGACACTACGATTTTTTGGTGAGTATTGATCGATTCTGAAGCGATTAGGAAGGAGACGCAAAGAAGAGGCGTTTGATTTCCTTATGATGGAGGTTGTTGCGTCTAGTGTTGTGTGTAGAGAAGATTAGGGTAACATTAAAGATAAGGTAATACCGTGTACGTATACGCCGATGTGATTATAAGCTTGATATTATTGTACATGAGGTATTAGGTATTAGGTATTGTACCTCTTAATTTTCAAGAAACATGCAATATGCTTAATAATATATATACACTTAAAAACTTATGTTTATACCAGAACATGACATTTTAAAAGACAAGGTTTGTTATAATGGCGGTGGGGTGGAGTAATTGCCTTGGTCGGAATCTGATGGATCTAAACTTGATGAATGGAGAGTTGTATACTTGATCACCGCCCTTGTTGAAATCTCAATCAGGTGAGACGGAATGTACTTCCTTCACTCCTCCTATTGTTTCCACATTTTCTCCTACTGTTTCCACCCTTTTGAGCCATATATAGTATCCATAATGGCCATTAGGCCATTACTCTTCTACCAATTTGCTATGACCTCACTTTTAAAATAAAATCAAAAACAAGAAAATGAATTCAAAAGCATGTTGTATTGATTGAAACACTCACAATACCAAATAAACAAATTGTAACCCTAATGATTTTAGTGGTTCAAGAGCCAAGCCTCTTCCAATGGTAAAAGATTCTTCGAGTTCACAAAAAGATAAGATGATGCTACTCTCATCGCTCTTATCTTTTATAAGCCACTGTTGTAACAAACTAAATAGCATAATACCCAAAATACCCCTCCCACTTATAAGATGCTTTATATTTTCCTGATTTCCCAGCTTACCTTTTCTAGAATATTTGACTAATATCAGAGGTATAGCAGTTCTGTAGGTTTTGATTTACGAGACTTCTGAAGCACACCACCTATTTGACGATAATCCTATGCGAGAGTCCTCATAATAATACTGTATGAAATTTCTAGATGCTTAGTCACCTATCGAGAGCATAATTAGAAGTTTGGCAACAAGAAATCGCAGACAGCTGTTAGCCAAAAATATTACATAAACCCTGACATGCTTTTGAGAACAAAAGTTCCAAAGAAATACGCAAGGTATGTTGCGGTTGAAATTCCAAATATACCCACAAGAATTCCAGGAATTACCAAAGAGCCCCAACCTTTGGCTGTTGCCATCCCAGATGCTGTTGTAGGACCTCCAATGTTAGCATTTGATGCTAAAAGTAGTAACTTTAGGTCTAATCTGAGTAACTTCCCCAGTCCAAGAATCACAAGAAGATGCACTGTGATTTGAATAAAGGCAAACACAAACACACTTGGAGCAACCATGATAACATTCCATATGCTCCCACTCGCACCCAATACAGCAAAAAATACCTATATCATCAACATCAAAATAGTTCATGTTTGTAAACCTTATGTTTGGTTAAGAACAAAACAAAAAGATTTTCTTGAAATACCTGAATCGAAATTGCAGCAACAACATCACCAGCAGGTGCCAGGTAACCAATTTGTCTTGGAAGTAAAGTTGCCAAAATCACAACGGTTGCAGTAATTGCTGGTAGCGTGCCACCTGGCAATTTTAAAACTTGAATGATATGTGTTGAAACTTTGCAGATTGCAAAAGAAACAGCAAGTGCAGTAGCTGTTTGTATTGTGGCCACATTGCCTTCCAAATTATTTCTCGGATCTGCCATTTGACATAAGTTAAAGGTGCACAGATAGACATTCAAATAAAGGGAGGTAGCAAATGAATAAAAAAAAATGAGGTTATTTATTTTAAACTCACCTTCGGTTGGTGGTAAAGCCTCTGAAGGAATTTTAGAGCCTAATGCAAACAACACCATGAAGTAAATCGCACATATAACATTGTCTGCAGCTACACCTGCAGCAACAACAGATGGAGAAACACCAAGTGCATCTGAAACCGCAACATAGTTTATAGCTACAAAAATAAAACATTGTTTTAGTTTTATGATTAAAAAACACAGTAAATGAAAAATACCACATCTTTGGTTAGCAATATCATTAATAATAATATTACCTCCTCCTATATAACTGGCCATGAGAGCAGAAGCAATCTTCCAACTATCTTGACCTAGTGATCGCATAGGAACAATCCAGAATGCTACTAGTGTTCCAAATGTGGTTGCAACTGCCACATTATAATAAACAAAATGTCAGTTTTTCTTAGTGTTAAAAGAATGATATTTTCAAACAAGCATCTATTAAAGTATGCTTAAACTGATAACTGTTTGTATAAAAAATATGACCTGATCCAATCAAAAAGGCCAAGAGGAGCTTGCCGGTTGATTTTATCACATTTCGCATATCAGCTCTGAACAGCATCAATGGGATTGTCAAAGGTAGAATGAATTCCATCACAATAGAGTAAGCATGTGCTTCGTGAGGAATAATCCCCATGTTACTGGCTGCAAGGCCCAACAAGATGCTCACAAGTGCAGCACTGATCATCCCCCCAATCTTGGTTCTCTCTGACCTTTATTTGGATATTCAAACACCCCAAAATCCACATACACTTAATTACCAAAATCATGAAATTCAAAAAAGGAAACAAATCTGATTGATTGCAGCATATACAACTTTAAGATTGCAAGCAATCTGGATAGCAACAGAACTAGCATATCTGTTGTACCCAAAAAGTCAATGGATCTGTACCAATCATTAAACTTCAGATTTTAAGAACCGACTCTTAAAACTCCGAATCTATATTCTCAAAACGCTAGTGAATGATTTTAGGTGACAGTTTAGTTAAGGAGCAAAGGGAATAATACAGTTTCAATCTTATAATTGATTAAAAGAATGAACAGAGTCAACGAGTTCTAATCTCAAATTCACAATAAGCAAGCAATGAGAATAGAGAAATTGATTACCATAGACCAAAAGCACCAGTGGCGAAGAGAGCAGTCCATATGCCCCAATGGTCATTAGGCGATATCAGAGGGAATCTCAAATTAGACCTAGCCACTACACTTGGATTGAGTGTAGGTGTGTTTCCCGACGATGAGAAGCGAGATGTTTCGAGCGAGAAACGTCTCAAAGTGAACGTACACAGTTTCGGTTCGGATTTTGAACTGTTGGATGAGATTAATGAATGAGTACAATATTGGCGGTGAGAGAGCGACGGTAACCGAAATGACGACGCAGCGGCCGTCATGAACGGCGACGACGACGCCATTAATGGTGAGATGAGCCTTCCGAAATACTTGCTTCATCAATTTAGCTTTTCCTGTCCTTGGATTTTTGTGTGTGTTTATGTGGATTCCTTGTTTGCCGGCACCTGTGTTTTGTCAATTGGAGCTTTCCGATATCAATTTTATCCAGTAATAAATAAACAGGGTTGCCGTGTGTTGGCACGGATTAAACAGGCCCAAAAACAAAACCGCAAATATAAAATAATAAAACTGAAATTTAAACCGGTTAAGATAGTCTCGACTCGATTTTGGTATGAGACATGTTCAAAGTCAACAGCCCAATGATTAGGGCTCTTTGGTAATTCGTGTACGTCTTGTGGGTATAGTTCGATTGCATATTTCTTTGAAACTTTTATTCTCAAAAGCATGTAACTAGATCTGTAACTTTAATATTCCGTTAAACTAAAGTATACTATTACCATTTAATCATCAAAATATGCAGATGGCATATTGCATACATGATACATGGTGTGGTGTATATGAAAACCGGAAAACATTTTGTCCATTTTGCTACCTTAAGTAAGTTAGACTAATTCTAGTAATTCTACTATTAACAAATAGAACTCTGAAATAAACATCTCCATTTCAGTAAACAAAAAAAAAATACATGGCACTAAACATTATTTGTATGATGATGTTACAAACGAAAACGAAAACGAAAGCTGTTTACATAATTAGATTACATGTATTGAAGCACATAAGTTCCAAAAGCAACACCCAGAAAAGTAGCAATGGCAATGCCAAAAATACCGGCAAGAACCGCTGGAACAATCAAGGAAGTCCACTCTTTAGCTGTGGCCATTCCACAAGCCGTTGTGGGGCCTCCTACATTCGCATTTGATGCCAACAGCAATAACTTGAGCTCCAAACCAAACACCTTTCCCAAACCTAGAATAACTGCCAGATGAACTGCCAGCTGGACAAGAGCAAACAAAAATATACTAGGTGCTGTTGTCACCACATTCCATATGTTCCCACTTGCCCCAATCACTGTGAAAAATATCTGACAAAAAATATACATATATTAGTAACAAAATGCATTACAAAAAAATTCGGAATATAAATATGTTGCAACTGAGGTTATAACCTGCATTAGGATTATGGCCATAACCTCGCCAGCAGGTGCAAGGTGAGTAAACTGCTTTGGGAATGTTGTTGCCAAAACAACAACCACAGCAGTAATGGCTGGAAGGCTTCCTCCTGGAATCCCAAAATATTTTGTTATAAAACTTCCGATTTTGCAGATGCCAAAGGATACAGCAAGGGCTGTAGCAGACTGCAGCAATGGAAGTTTGCTCTTGGATTCTGATTTCACATCTTCTTCAACATCTGTCAAACTTCCACGTTTATTTACAATTCAACATATAATATTAATAACAGGATTGAAAACCAACCCGTGGTTGATGTTGAACTCTCGGGAGGGATTTTAGCAGCTAGCGCAAACAATGTGGTAAAATATACTGCACAAATAACATTATCTGCAGCTAGTCCAGCAGCTAAAACTGAAGGAGAAATCTCTAGAGCTTCAGCAATGGCAACATAATTGACAGCTATAAAGTAACATAAACAGAAAGAAGTCATTAGTTCTATATATATATATATATATATATATATATATATATATATATATATATATATATATATATATATATGTATAATTATAGAAGGATTCTTTAACAAACTAATTACATTGTTCATTACCTCCACCAATATGTCTACCCATTAAAGCAGCAGCAATTTTCCACCCTTCTTGGCCAAGTGGTCGCATTGGAACCATCCAATAAGCCACAATTGTTCCAATTGTTGTTGCCACTAAATGAATGGGCCAAAAGCAAAAAGATTAAAGTAAGAGTGGGATCTATCATAGTTATTGGAAGTCTGTGAAAATTTTCTTTTAGAAAGCTTACCTGATCCAATCAAGAAAGCCAAAAGGAGCTTCCCTGTTGACCTAACAACTCGAAAAAGATCTGCTCTAAACAACAATAGGGGGACAGCTAATGGCAACAGATACTCAAGGACAATTGGATAAGCCTTCGCTTCACATGAAATAACCCCTAAATTACTAGCAGCAAGTCCAATCAATGTGCTCACCAATGCCCCGCTTAACATGTTCCCAATCTTTGTATTCTCTGACCTTATAGGTAAAATGAGTATCGTCTTCTCATGAGTTTACGAAGATCGCTTTCTATGTAAATTAGACAGTTGGGAAGAATTAAGTATACTAGGGGAGAGAGATTACCAGCTACCAATAGCGCCGATGGAAAAGAGAGCAGTCCAGTTTCCCCATTGATCTGAGGGCGAGATTAGCGGGAAATTCAAGTTTGCTCTGACCTTTACACATCGACGACTTGAATTGCCATTATTCGGATCAAGCACAAGTGGCGAAGATAATATGACTTTATCTTTGCAGGCATCAGAACTATGATTTCGTGATAGCGAATGACGAGGTCTCAAATCAAAATTATTCGTCGAATGACAAGTCAGTATGTTTTGGTTTCGGCCGGAAGATAACTGCCACCGCCGCTGTAAAGTCGGACGCAGAGACGGCAGCTGAAGATAGAGAAGATGCGACGACATTCTCTCAACTGATAAAAGTGATTAACTGATTGCCAATAGCCGAGTCCGATTAAACCTAAAAGCATACAATTTCAACACTGCTTCTTTGCTCGGATTCTTCTCAGTGTCGCCGCCGTGGCATCAACTCCGGGATTAGTAAATATATATAGTAAGGAAGTACGACCTTTATTGAAGGTATCAAATGTAAATACTAAATACGGTGAATCTGAATTCACTCGGATTTTGGACATATACTTATTTACGGTGAATCTCTTCTTTTTTTTTTATAGGAAGGATCCCTACCTCAGATGCTCTTTCTCATAGGGGCATTTCAGTAATTCATCCTAATTGTCACCTATGTGGATGGGTTGTGGAAACCGTGAACCATCTCTTTTTCGAGTGCAACTTTGCAAAAACTGTTTGGTATTGGATCGCTAAGTGGTGTGATGTACCTGACTTAAGAGGAGACAACATCAGGGAGAGGATGGAGTTTGCACAATCTTGGGGTAACTGCCCCCACAAAAGGGATACACTGAATCTTATTCTATACTCAGCCAATTTGGAACATATGGCTTGCGCGTAATTAGAGAATTTTCAACAAGAAACATGTTTCTCCTACGAAAATGGCGGATGCTATAATTTTACAAGGTTTTGAATGGTTGAAATACATGGGTAATATCGGCAAAAGCTGGACAGAATGGAGTTGCTGCCCATTTTGATCCTTTAATTCTCTGTTTTTGTTTCCATTGTACGTATATATGTTTGTTATCTCCCTTCCCTGTACTATCTTCCAAAGCTTCTTGCTACTGGTTTTTTTTATATATATTCTGGATTTGGGAATTTGAAGCCCGATAAAGGGGGCTTAGGTTGGAGAGTGTTTTGGTGGATTTGGAAGGCACATAATAGGTAATAGATAAAATATAAGATCTAAGTCTCTTTTGATAAATTTGATTGATGTTGTAGTTCTAATTTTAAATTTATTTTATAATGTTTTAGCGTCTTGCTAATTAGTTTTAATGTATTCTACCGTTCAAAAAAATATATATTTATTTGAAGGCTGAGAAATTTATTTTCATATTACTAGTTATAGATAATGTTAAATAACATGTGTTAGCTTAACGGTATCAGGTAGTATCATTTCTTCTTGAGATCGAGGGTTCAAGTCCCGTAGTGAACATATATAGAATTAGGTATTAGTTTATGAGTAAATTATAATATTGTATTTTCCAGTTAAAAAAAAAAAAAAAAAAAAAAGATAATGTTAAATTGTTCTTTTTAATTAAGTTAAAAATAAAACTATTCATACCAATAAGGGTTAGATTGATCTATTTCATTTATGATAGCTTGTAAATTGTAACTTATAATGTTTGTCTTGATTCTTGTTAATGTATTCTATATTATTTAGTCCTTTAAAAAACATGTTTAACAACCTTCATCAACTTATTGGGGGCGGTATCATATAGACAAGGGAAAATTATTTATTAAGGTAATTAACTTTTCGGTATGTTCACATCTGAATAACTATCCTTTTTTGTATATATTTAGGTGACAAATTTGTTGAAAGTATTCACATATAACTATTATGACATGCTATAGCAGGTTAAATCCTAGATGTGCACGCTTTTACCAAGTTCGTTACCTAGATGTGTACAAAAAAAATAGATACCTAAATATGAATAAAATGAAAAATAAAAGTAAATTACACAAATGGTCCCTGTAATTTAGGTGAATTTATGTTTTTGGTCCCTAACTTATTTTTTTTAACTCGGATGGTTCCTACTATTTATTTTTGTTACGCGTTTGGTCTCTGTCTTACCTAAAAGACTATTTTGCCCTTATTAATTTATTTTTTAATTAATTTTCTTATTTATGGATTTATTTTTAATATATTTAAAAAAAAAACTAATAGACTCACATATCTATATTTGCTCACTATAAACCTCAAACCATATTTGAGAAATTTAATTTAGATGGTCCCTATTGTTTATTTTTGTTGCGCGTTTGGTCCCTTTCTTCCTAAAAATATTATTGTACCCTTATTAATTTATTTTTTAATTATTTTTCTTATTTATGTATTTATTTTTTATATATATAAAAAAATTAATAGACCTCACATATCTGTATCTGCTCACCATAAACCTGAAACCACATTTGAGAAATTTAATTTCGGTCTTACCGGTCACCATCCCATTTTTCATCTTCTCCAACTTCTATTTCTTTTCCATCTTTAGTAATATCGATGTCTTCACCATCCTTTTTTTTTGTACTTCAACTCTGACGAACCAACATCATAACCTACTATCTCTTCATATTTAGTGGGTTGTGGTGTTGATTCGACGGAGTTGAAGTACCGAAAAAAAATGATGATGAAGACGTAACAAAATTAATAAGTGCACAGTAGTCTTTTTAGGTAAGACAAAGACCAAGCTCGTAACAAAATTAAATAGTAGGGATCATCCGAGTTAAAAAAAAATTAATTAAAAAATAAACAGTATGGATCATCTGGTGAGATACAAATATGTAGGTCTATTAATTTTTTTAAATATGTAAAAAATAAATACATAAATAAGAAAATTAATTAAAAAATAAATTAATAAGGGCACAATAGACTTTTTAGGTAATACAAGGACCAAACGCGCAACAAAAATAAACAGTACGGACCATCCAAGTTAAAAAAATAAGTTAGTGACCAAAAGCACAAAATTTCCCAACCCACAGGGACCATTCGTGTAATTTAGTTTTACTTTTCGCTTTGTTCATATTTGGGTAACTGTTTTTTTTGTACACATCTAGGTAATGGACTTGTTGAACGCGTTTGTAACGCCCCGTTCCTGGTACGTATTTATTTTAATTAAATGTTCTTTTGAGAATAGCTACTCGGCGAGTTGTAGCCCTAACTCGCCGAGTAGATGTCGAGTGGATGCGGGTTTTAAGTGATCTACTCGGCGAGTCCACGCCTGGACTCGGCGAGTAGGCCAATCAGGAGGAGACCCTAATCCTTAGGGTTTGCACCCTATTTAAACGCCCTTTCAGCCCCATCTCAACCCCCCATCACCCTCAGAGCAATCCTTATCGAAACCCTAGCCTCCATTGGTGAGTTTAAGTGATTTGTTGCCTTGTGAAGGGACTTTGGGTGCACTTTGGAGCAAGTGGAAGAAGGGAGAAGTTGAAGAGGTCAAGGAAGGGGACTTAGATCCATAACACATTCATTTGTGGTCATCCATTCCAGTAATAAAGTTTCCATCTTGGTTATTTATCTATTAGATCTTGTTTGTCCCTAAAATGTTGCTTTTAAGCCCTAAAACCCCAAATCCTTGAAGAGAATCCTTATGGTTGGGTTATACTTCAGATCTGGACTCTCATTACCGTCTGGAAGTGTTAAGTTTCGATCATACTGGTGATTAAGGTCCCTCTTGAGCTTAGAACCCATTAAGAGCTTAGTTTGGGCATTGGAAGCCTCTAAAGCTATGCATGCACGTAAAGTTTGCAACTTTACGTGATAAGCATGCCCTAGAAGCTTGGATCTGTGGTTTAGAGCCGCTGCATGGCTCAAATCAGGTCTGTATGGAAAAAGGACTGATTGTACTCGATGAGTAGAACGATGGACTCGGCGAGTCCCATGCAGATAGCTGTGGACTCGGCGAGTTGGATGAGCAACTTGGTGAGTCCGATGAAGATTGCCTTAGACTCGACGAGTTGTTCTTCAACTCAGCGAGTCAGATGATTTTGGACTTAGTATGCATGCATCGAGGAAGGACGCGTCGAGTCTTCGCTAAGCTCAACGAGTAGAAACGGGTGTAGAACTAGAACAGATGGAGGAGACTCGGCGAGTTGGCGAGTCAACTCGGCGAGTCCGGTCAACCAGGAAGTTGACTTTGACCAGGATATTGACTTTGGCCGGGGGGTAAAATAGTCATTTTACCCTAAGATTAGTTATCAGTATATGACTTAGTGTTTATGGAAATTGTAGTCGGGGAGTTCCGATTCGGCAGTCAAGCGCTCAGCAAGCAGACTTTCAGCAGCTACTTCGAGGTGAGTTATCTTCCAGTAGCGGTGGGTCTAAGGCCACAATGTCGACCCACTAGTAGGAATTGTATGATTAGATGATCGTCTCTGTGATAATCATCTAGGGTTGCCACTACTTGTGTTATGTTTATGTGTTTGTACGATATGATGCTATGTGCTAGCGATACTAGGGGAGATAGTCCCCAGGTATCCGGTCGAAAGGACCGAAGGGGAGACCAGCACCCAGATATGCTAGTCAGTATCTGGTCGAAAGGACTGAAGGGGAGACCAACACCCAGATATTGTGACATCCCCAAAATCTCGGCCAGAAAAGACCGATTTTCATTTATGCTTTTAAAATAATTTCAGAGCAAATCCTTTTGATTTGAAAGAGTTGCGGAATTTGTTCCCAAAAACAAAACATGATAAAACATTGTTTACCAAAGCATTTCATAAAAGAAATGTATTTTCACTATATAATCAAAACTCGGGGTGTCATGTTCCAATACAGACCAATAAGCATAAACGATAACATTACAAGTCATTCAACAAATATATACATATACAGGCTTGTAAACAAAACAACTTGATGGTTCATCCATCTTACACCCTTGCGCCACTTCCTGCAATACAAATAAAACTGAGTGGGTCATGCTTGGGAGCCTGGTGAGCATATAGGGTTTTCAACCCACAACAAATAATTAAATTAATTACTATCAAGCAACAATAACTCAATTACCCATTCCCGTTATTCTCACTTTATGTCCCTAAAATAACTAACACAAGGGACCTAGTCTAAGAATATTTCATCGGGGTGACAACACATGCTTCGGGGGTTCCTCAGCAATATAAGTCAAATAAAGCAACCATGAGGGGGATGAAATACAGCGAATGAACACCCAAGTTCATTAACACCTACAGGTTATGAGCCTGCTAGCGTTCCACTGGACTGTCTTGAAAAGTCCGTGGTCGTCATCTAAATTCCGCTAGATGACTGGATCAAAACAACATTGAGGCCTCTCATCTGTTTATTACACACCAACTATCTACCCATGTTCTACCCAACATATTAGTAGATAAAACATACATTTTTATAGATAGTTTCAAAACCTGTATAGCATGCTCAATCAATACATTTCCACATAACAGATATCACACCCCAAAACCAGGAACGGCGGAAACGTTCTGGGGCGGAGGACGTCATGTATAATATCAACAACAATGTAAAGTAGTAAACAAGCAACAACATCATCCATTGCATTAATAATATAATTATTATACAAATATGTTCTGTCAAATTTTGATAAACACTAAGGTGCTGTTTGTTTTTTCTGAGGCAAAATGTTTGCAGTCTGCGGACCACATCTGTAGACCTCTGCAGTAGAAGAGGTGGATCAAACGTCTGCAGTCTGAAAAAAGAAGACTGTTTGTTTTTTTAACATCTGCGGGCTATTAAAATAAACTGAAATCTAAATAAACTGATTTTTTAAAACTTCAAAGCGAATTTTTTATATATTTTTACGACTTTATTATAAATATATAACGAATCTAGATCAACTTTTATGTATTATTATATAAAAAATAAAAATAAAAATGGTATTAATTCATATACATATTTGATAAAAACCAACAACTTTGATTGCAAAGTTATAACTAAACATTATAATTAGTGATCAAAGAATTTGTACATAAATAGATGGAAATAAACTTCGATTTTTTCAAATAAATCTATTAAAAACGTACGATAAATATTTTCTCGAGAAATTGATGATACTCTATTAAATAAAGTTTTACAAAATTTTGGCAAAAAAATATAAGAATATATTTATTTTTTTTTTCATATTTATATAAACAATTTCAACGACTATTATTATAATAAATTTTTATTTATAAATTTGTTA